ATTCTGTTTGATTTTATCATAGACTGAAACTAAGTAAAATGTGGCATAGAAGAAAATCATACCTTATTAGAAGGTGTTTTCTTCTCATTATCAGGCAAGGTCTATACTTTGACCATAAGACATCCTGGAAGTGGGGCCTCCAAGTGAATGAGTGTGCTGCCCGCCCTTGGTCCTGCTCTGCTACTCATGACAGCAAAGATACAATATACATATGTGATGTGAAAATTCGTTGTGGGATCTGAGGATACTGAGCTCAAAGAAGAGAGAGCTTGGGATATAGGTCGGGATAGCGCTCTTTAAACATCTGTAGGGCAGCTACATGGAAGAGAGGGATCAAAAAGACAGCAGAAGGAGTAACTCCAGTCCCTGTGAAGTTATACAGGGGATATTATAAAAGGGGAAGTGCTGCTGTGTGTCAGTGGTGCAGAATGCTTCGCAGAGTACTGTGCCTTCGTCCTTAGGGGTCAAGCAGAGTTCTGAGTGTCCTTTGGTTGGAGAAGTTAGATGTTTCCTCATAGGACCCCAAGATGGTGATGATAGCTAAGAACTGGAGCAAACTGATGTGCTTAATGTGTGCCAAGCCTTTTCAAAATGCTTGTACATATTAGTGCAATCCTCCCGGGGAGTCAGTATCATTACTACCCCTCACAGCTGTGATTTTTCAACCCATGTGCCACATTTAAAGATCATTAATTTCTGAAAGAAGTTTAAAGCACAGTAAGTATATTCCTTTATTCTTTATTCTTTTTTTTTTTGATTAACATAATTTAAGTGTGCTGTGGAAGTTTAGCAATAGGTTCAAGTGTGCTGTGAGATAAAAAAAGATTGAAAAACAGTGCCCTTACAGGGATGAAGGAAGTTAGGCTCAAGGGTATAGGGCTTGGAAGGAGGAGAAGATAGAGAAAAATTCCCCACCTCAGCCTGGGGGAATAAATGAAATCAAGTCATTTTGGAGGGAAGAATTCAGTGTTTGTTTTAAGGAAGAGAGAGGCTCATGGGCTGGCAGGGTGGAGGGCATTTGGTGGGTCAGAAGTAATAACACCTGCAAACTCCTGAGCCAGCTAAGGAAAGGTTGTCTCAGGCTGGAGATCATGGGTACAGTTTTCACTTGGCTGCTGTGAGAGCAGGTAGAGGAAACAGGACTGAGGCTGGTACAGGGTGGTATGTTGAGGATCTGCTGTGCCAGGCTCAGAAGGACAGCGGAGATGTGTGTGTTTGTGGCTTTCCAGGAGAGACCGGGCCCCGCTGGTCTCCTTGGATCTGCTGGAGGCACCCTCAATCCAAGTTCTTGAGACAAGTGACCATGAGATTTTGTCACTGCTTCTCTTTTCTGTTTCTACCACATCTAGTCAGTTCAGCCAAATTTTCTGCTTTAATTTTTTCCAGATCCATTCTTCCTCCTTTGTTACACAACTGTCAGCCTACCTAGTAATGGGGCCTGCATAACTTTGATTCCAAAATCTGACAAGCACATTATAAGAAAGGGGAATTACAGATCCATCTCTTTCCAAAAGAGATATGTAAAAATTTCTTAATAAAATATTAACAAATAGAATCCAGCTGTGTATAAAAAAGGATAATACGTTAGAACAAAGTGGGGATTATTCCTGGTATGCAAGGTTGGTTTAACATTTTTTTTTTTTAAAAAAGCAGTCTTTGTAACTCTTTAACAGAAAAAAGGAGAAAATCGTATGATTATCTTGACAAATGCAAAAAAAAGCATTTGATAGAATTTAACACTGATTTATGCTAAAAAAATCTTAGCAAATTAGGATTAGAAGGAAACCTCATTAATCTGATTAAAAATGTATACAAAATAATGTATGGCAAATCTCATTGTTTTCCTTGAAATATGGAACAAGAAAAGGAAGCATGACTGTCACCACTTAACTTCAACATTGTGTTGAAGGCCCAGTGCCTATAGTTTACTAGTTAGGGCACCAGCCACAGACACTGGGGCTGGTGGGTTCAAACCCTGCCTGGGCCTGCCAAACAACAATGACAACTACAACAACAGCAACAAAAATAACCAGGCATTGTGGCAGCTGCCTGTAGTCCCAGCTACTTGGGAGGCTGAGGCAAGAGAATCGCTTAAGCCCAAGAGCTGGAGGTTGCTGTGAGCTGTGATGCTACAGTACTCTACCAAGGGCAACATAGTGAGACTTTGTCTCAAAAAATAAAAAAAAAAATTGTAGCATGGTATTGTATAATAGGGAAAAAAAAAAAAAAAGGCAGGCATGTCATTTAGAAAGGGGTAAATGAAACCAACAATATTTACAGATTAAATGATTGCCTATATTGGAAATCTATAAGAATCTCTATAAAAAGTATTGTAATAAATTTAGAAAAGTTTCTGGATATAAGGTATTATTAAAAAATCAATTTTATTTCTATACTCATTCAACAAATAGAAAATGAAATCTAGAACCTGGTACACCAGCATCCAAATTTATACTGAGAAATAAATTTCATGAAAGATAACTAGGACCTCTACTGAAAATTTTAAAACATTACTAAGAGACATTGAAGGAAGATTGCAATAATAGTAAGTCTAAATAGAGGATTTATCATGAACATGGGTTAGAAGACTCAACAGGTAAAACTATTAGTTCTTCAAATTTGTATATAAATATAATCCAAGTCAGTAGTCCAGCAAGACTTTTGGACTTTTGGAAATTGAAAGGCTGACTGAGACATTCTCATGGAAATGCAAAGACCAAGAAGGGCTAACGTGAAATCTTGGCAAGGATGTGGAGTAACCTGAATGCTCATATGTCACTTATGGGAATGCAAATTCATCCAATCATTTCTTAAAAGGAAGTTTACTTTTTAATAAAGATGAACTCAGGTATATCTTATGACCTAGAAATTCTCTCCCTAGATGTATGCTACACAGTAATATATACATATATTCACCAGAAGACATGTGCTACAGTGTTCATAACAGCACCATTCCAAATAACCTGGAACTGGCCAGGTATGCAGGCTACGCCTGTAATCCTAGCACTCCTGAAGGCCAAGAGGGGAGGATTGCTTGAAGTCAGGAGTTAAAGGCCAGCTTAAGCAAAACAATACCCAATTTCTACTAAAAATATAAACATTATGGGGTGGCACCTGTGGCTCAAAAGGGTACAGTGCCAGCCCCATATGCCAGAGGTGGCAGGTTCAAACCCAGCCCTGGCCAAAAAATATATATAAAAATTAACCAGGCATGGTGATATGCGTCTGTAGTCTCAGCTACTCAGGAAGCTGAAGCAAGAACACTGCTTAAGCCCAGGAGTTTGGGGTTACTCTGAGCTACGCTGAAGCCATGACACTCTAGCCTAGATGACAGAGTGAGATTCTGTCTCTCAAAAAGCAAAACAAACAAACAAACAAAAGAAAAACAAAAAAGCTGGAGCTGAAAAGTACCCAAACGTCATCAACAGTAGAATGGATAATTAAATCATCTGATATCTATATAAGGGGATATAATACAACAATGAGAATGAATGATCTTCAGGTACATACAAGAGTGTAGATGAATCCTACAAGTGTGATGTTGTGAAGTTAGATTGTGATTCCTTATAGAGAGAAAAGACATCCAAAGCTAATTTATACTATTTGATGTAAGGTGGGGGAGGGAAAACGTTGAAAGGAGCATTAGAGGGTTGCTGGTTAGATAGGTGTGTTCGAAAATTCAGGGATCTGAGTACTTGGTAAAAAGGAAAAAAAAAAAAAACATAGCTTTTTACTATGTCCTCACTAGGACAGTGAGGCAAGAAAATTAAAGATTCTAGAAAATGATCCCTAAAGTGAGAAATGGCAGATTCATAAAGCCTAAAAGGAAGAAGCTTCTGGGGACATTGAGAAAGCAGAGGACGACATGATTGATGGAGTTGAAGGAGAAACCTGGTAGGAAGAAAGGATTGAAAGGCGTGGGTGAATGGGGGCTTGTGGTCAGAGGGAAAGAAAATTGACGTAAGATTTCCGCGATGGCTATGCCATATAATAATAGGGTCTAGAGTGTAAGGGACTGAGGTGAGGAAAGGTGACGGCCACTGGAGCTCATGAAGAAGGATTGTGAAGCCCAGCGGGGTGTAAGGCAGGTGTCTATATGCACTGTGATGTAGGTCAGAAGTCGATGGGACTTAGAGGCCAAAGGAGGGTAATGACCCAGTTGTCAAATTCTTTAGTTTGTATTCAGCTGCAAGAACAAAACCTAACTAAAACTTCCCTAAGCAAAAATAAGGATTTGTTATCTTACATTAGCAGAAGGCCAGGTGGACCTTTAGAACTACTGGATACAGCTATTAAAACTGTCACGGGAACTGATTTCCTCTCTCCCCGCCCCCCCTTCCCATCTGCTTTTCCGGGGGTGGGCTTCCCTTACTGGGAGCTATAGGCAGCCCCAGACTCAGAGTGTCCGTATAGTGAATCATCCTTAAAGGTACCGGGAGCAATCCCAGGTGCCATACGGCTTGGCTCTGTCAAACTTTGTACCCACCTTGGAAGTGGGGATGGATCCAGCCCCCTGTACCACATTCACGGAGAATGAGGGAGTAGAGCCCCAAACCAGGTGTGTACCATGGGGGTCAGTCAGTGCCAGATTGGCCTGACTCTCAATGGTTTCCAGTGCGTGGAGGTGTGAAGACTGGTAGCTGCAGAGCTGGTTGTCAGCAAGAACAGTGACTGGTGACTCTGTGTGGCGGAGAAAAGGCACAGAGAAGGTTGGCCTGAGGCCAGAGTTGCATCTGGGGGAGGGGAGGGGGGGTGCAGGGCAGTGACCTCCAGCCACCTGGACAAGGACATTCAGCCTCTTCTGGGCGGTCGCTTCCCCACCTGCATTTAAGGTTCCTGGTCTCAGAACTGTCCCCCCTCTCCTAACAGACTGAGCACACTCCCCTCCATTTCAGCCTGCTCGATGTGTATGTGCACGCTTCATCTTCCTGTTGTCTGTACCGCTCATCTGTCTCTCCATCTTGTCTCTGTGCATTTCTCTTTTCCTGGCCTCTTCTCAGGGATGAGGAGGAGGAGGAAGAAGAGGAGCAGCCAGTCACGGAGCCCAATTCAGAGGAGGAGAGAGAGGACGATGGCCCCTGTCAGGGCAAGGACAGGTACTAAGGGCTGGAGCCTCCCCAGCTCACACCACAAGCCC